AAAATTTTTATCATCATCAAAGCTTTTTTCCAATTTATTGGTGTCATCAATATGCGAATGAAAATATAAAACAATTATAAGGTACTAACGACATTTTGCTAGTTTGTTAGATCATTTTAGAAATCTTCGTAGTTTTTTATAGATCATTTGGAAATTTTCATACATTTCCTTTTAATTTTTTTTTTAAATATTCAAGATATAAACCTAATTTTAAATCCATCTCTTACACTTTTTTTAAATTTATTTAGACTCTTAACGTTTTGTAATGATCCTTTTACTCATTCTATTTTTAAAGACTTTTAAGAAACTTTTTACCCTTTTAGAATATCGTTTTGATATTTTTTGTTGGGTGCACATAACTCAGCCTAGTTACTGGCCTTGGCCTAAGGGCGGAGTACAATGGCTACGATCTTCTAAGCACAGATCCAAAGTTTTTGAGAAAATATTGCCTCGATAATGATAGGAAAAAAAGCAAGTACTTTACACAGTGCAGAAACGAAAGCTCAATTAAATAAGGAATAAATAAAAAAGTATAAAAACGTTTTATCAGTAAAAGGGAAAATAAATAAATATTAAACGATTGATTTGGACAGTAGCAATGGAGGAGGTATAGGGCCAGAGCGCACCGACACTGTCCTGAAGTCCTGAACCGATTAACTATACAATTGACTTCTCCATACCCAAGATGACGTCCACCACGTTTTCTCTGTTATTATTATTATTATTTTTTAATTTTTTTTTCCGAGTTGGAGAACAAATATATATAAAAGTACTTCGAGTTGCGTAACAAATATATTTAAAAGTACATGTTTTATTTCAGGTAGCAGTTAATTGATGTGATAAAATCCCCCCACCTAATAATATGAGTGAGTAATTTTACACCTAATAATATGAGTGAGTATCCATTACGTCTTCCAAAACAAGTAAACGCGTCAAATGCTACTGGACAAATCTTACAGATATGCACTACATTTTTTAATTTTGCGACATACAAAAGTAATTCATCTCGCAGGAAAACGGAGTGTGAACTATTGATATTGGTAAAATTCAATGAAAAAATTATCAAAATATTCACTAAAGATGAATTGTCAGCCGTTTGACCTTTTTGCTTCTGTTCCAACTTATAATCGTTTTTTCACAGCGATTTTTTGGGTGCGGTTTCTATGAGGTTGCAACTTTAAACAATTTACGATTTTTTGGGTGTGGTTTTTATAAGGTTGTAATTTTAAACAATCTAATTAAGACGCACTTTCAAATTATATCATAACATATAATTTTGCTGTAAAATTTTTTTTAGGATTATTTGAAGATCTATTTTCATATCTAATTATAAAATTTTAAACTCAAAAAATTGTTAAAATTAAGTAGATCATTGAACATATGAAAATATGGAAAATGGATGGTCTAGCTAATGTGTTGCAATATGTATTATTTCTAGGACTCAATTTCTTCTTATTTTTTTTCCATCTTGACATCGAGAGGATCAATTGAAGGGTTTTCAAAATTAAAATAACTTTTTTCGATGTATTTTTGAGATGCATCTATAATTCTTCATTTTAAATCTGCAACCTTATATAAACTTTTTTCCTTTATAAATTAAGTGAAAAGATATTGGTATGAAGTTAAGCAGTATTTGGATACGTGTCTCACAAAAAGTAGCTTTTTTTTTACCCTTTTTTGTAAGGGCGTAAAGAATCGCTGGGTCCACTTAAGACCGACCCGAGTGGGCGTAGATACAAAACCATTATAAATACTAAAACCATTTTTATTGGCAGAATATCATAATGGCAGGAACCGACACCTCGGCTGCCACAATGACGTGGGCCCTGGCCGCGCTGGTGAACACGCGCCATGTGCTAGAGAAGGTCCAGGCCGAGCTAGACGTTCACGTTGGCAGGGACCGTATGGTCGAAGAGGCTGACGTCAAACACCTCACATACCTAAATGCGGTGATCAAGGAGATCATGCGCCTCTACCCCGCGGGCCCGCTCCTTGTCCCCCACGAGGCCATGGAGGACTGCACGGTGGGGGGATTCAAGGTGCGGGCTGGCACCCGCCTCCTAGTGAACGCATGGAAAATACACAGAGATCCTCGTGTATGGGAAGATGCAGAGGAGTTCAAGCCTGAGAGGTTCCTGACCACCAAGGCAGATGTGGATGTCTATGGAAAGCATTTCGAATACATTCCGTTCGGCGCCGGGAGACGGTCGTGCCCCGGGCTGTCTCTGGCCCTCCATGTCATGCACTTGACGTTGGCACGTCTGTTGCAGGCATTCGAGTGGGGCACCCAGACAGGAGAGAAGGTGGACATGGGTGAGAACTTTGGTTTAACACTTCGAAAGGATGGACCTCTCGAACTCACTGTGAAGCCTCGATTGCCATTACAGCTTTACCAGTAGAGGTCTACTTGACATAAAAATAGAAATATGGGTCGAGGAAAGATGGTGTGATTTGCTCTTGTGTTTTCACTAGGATAGTGTGATTTTTTTTGCAGCAGAAAGGAAAGGAAAAGAATTTGTCGAGCACAAATAGTATTGACTTTTGTTAGTGGTATTTGTATGACTTCGAATTTTGGAATTTTGCAGTGCAGTTTGTATAGAGTCTAGACTCTAAACAATCAAATTAGGGCCTACCTTCAAATAGGGTTCAGAAATATGGTTTCAATAAATCTTTGTGATAGCCTTAAAATTTATATTTATTTATAAAGTTTAAAGCTTCAAAAATAGTATAGATTGATAGATATATGAAAACTTGAAAATTTTGAAAATTGATGGCCTAAAAATAAGTTACAAAATACATTATTTTCAAAACCTGAAATTCTTTTTTTTCTCATGTCCATGCATCTTGATGTTGAGATGATCAATTTAGATATATTTGAGTATAAAAAACAACCTCTTCTAGTGAAATTTTTGAGATAGTCTCAAATTTGATTGTTTAGAGCCTCAACTTTATATAATCTTTTTCCTTTTTGAATACGTATTGTCTTATATGTAAAAATCAATCCCATAATGAAGATGATGAATTTGCGAAAATGTCAAAATGAATAGCTATCCAACAATGAAAAGCTATCTCAAATTTAATAGAGAGAAATTATTTCAAAAAATTTATAGAGAAATTTTTTCTCAAATTTTAAATCTTAGAGAGAGAGTATCTCAAAATTTAAGAGAGAGAAACTACATCAAATTTGTGAGAGAGAAAGTGTTTAAAGGTTTTAGAGAGAGAAACTATCTCAAATTTTTTAGAGAGAGACTATTTCAAATTTTAATTTTTGAAAGAGATTGTATTAAAATATTAGAGAAAGTTTTAGATAGAGAAACTATCTCAAAATTTTTAGAGAGAAACTATTTCAAATTTTAATTTTTGAAAGAGATTGTATTAAAATATTAGAGAAAGTTTTAGATAGAGAAACTATCTCAAAATTTTTAGAGAGAGAGAGAAATGATTTGCATTTCCAAAAAAAGATATTCTTGTCAATCCAAACATGGAATTTGTACTTTCTTGATTTCTATCAAATGCCATCCAAACAGCATACAACCATACACTATATTCCAAGAAATGTCAATTCCAATAAATCTCAATTTTTGGATTGACTTTTGTTAGGGTTGAAAAATCTAAGGATCCAAATAGGCCCTAAAGGCTTACCCTAAAGGCGTGAGTATTATGACTTTCTTAACCGCCTTTATGTTGAGATCGATAAGGCCCTTGTTCTCAAAGAAACCCTCTTTTTTATTTTATCAAAGGTATAGTACGCTCAATCTTTTAAAGAAACATGGGAGGTGTGATTTTGAATGTCGTCAAACCTAACAAAATGAAAGAATGCTTTCTCTTGTTCAATTGCCAGCCATAGACTTTTACAAGTCAGTACGCATGCCCAAGCATTGGATTAAAGGTCGGTCTAAGATGGATTGCGCACCTGCTTCCCTTGCCAAATCTTAGATTAATCAATAACCTTTTAGCATTCTCTTAGCACATGTGGTCACACGTATGGGTGGTAATCGGCCAGCTGGGCTAATCCAAGATCGGCTCAAGAGCAAAAAGGCGGGCTTTGTATCGTTCAATGGATCCATTTGTGTTGCTCTAATTTTGTACACTAATTGATAATCTGCTACAGACTTCCTAAGAGGCGTATTAGCAAGATCCCAAGAAGTCCTAAGAGGCTAAATAGCAAGATCCCAAGAACGGGTTTTATACCAGGCATTTAGTACATTGGTCCTAGTTTTCTGCCAATTGGCATCAGATAAGCCGTCTTTATATGACTTCGGCTCATGAAGAGAAAAAACAATAGTCAAGAAGCAATGGAAATCTTAAAAATCCCGAGATGTTGGTAGAGTGATGTTCGATAGGTTTAAGCTGCAGGTCGTTGCCAAGCGATGCAGCATCAAGATGGGTCCATTAGGTTCTGAAGTAGCAGGGTTGGAGTTAATATGCTGGTTAGTCCTCTGAGCATCCTTAGAAGGAGGTAGATGAGGTGTAATAGGGTTAACATCGCATAACGAGTTCCATTATAGGTGGAGTCAGTCAAGAGATCAAGAAACTAAAGTGACTCAAAATATGAATTGAAGAGATGTGAAAATTTCAAACTAGAATAAAAGCATACATGTTCCGAGAAGGTAACATGGTGACAAATACTATGTTCATGCATCGACATCCATTCTGCTAAATAATGCAACCCAAGCCTACATAGGTCAGATTTTTGGGGCAAGTTATTTCTTCCAACTTTAGGTAAGAGACTAAAACATGCTGATCCAAAAATATGAAGTTGAGAATAAAATCAAGACTAATCGAATAAAATCGTTTGAAGGGAGACGATCTACCTATAGCTGATGAAGGGATATAATTGATAACATAAGTAGACGTTTATACGACCTCTTTCCAAAATTTTCGTGGAATAGAGGAGGAGAGTAACTACTAACAAGCAATCTTAATGACATTATGATTTTATGTTTCGCTATGCAATTCTGTTGCAATTTCAAGACAAAACTAATCAGCCAAGGTACTATTAGACATAAGGTGTTTTTAAAAGATTTAGAAAAATACTCTCCACTAGATCAGAACAAAATTTTTTATTTGTTTTTGAATTGAATCTTGACCGTGGTAGAAAATTCATCATAAACCATATAAAAGTATGATTTTTAGTGTAACTAATATAACTAGTAATAACAAAAAAGATTATATTAAAAAAATACTATAGTAGCGAGAACAACCCACAAATGGCACAAGAGTGAGTCCCAATAAATCAGAATGTATAAGATGAAAAGTAGAAGAAGAAATAGTTTTACTATTAGAACATAGTAAAGCGATACGTTTTGCCAACCATCAATTGAGACAGCCAATGATATTTTTAGTTTGTACAAAACCAAATTTGTCAGTTGGCACCCGATAGTTAAGCCTTGGAAAGGAAACCCGACCAAATCTTATATACTAAAGTGAAAAAGGTCATGAGAAGGGAGAAATTCTTGTACAGGAAAACACCAAACTTCTATACATGATTTCCGTAGAGAAAAGGGTAGTAACACACAACTTGCGACCGGATTAAAATCAGTTGTTTAGAGAAAAAAAGAAGAAATGTTTGGTTAAGGATTTTGATTGAAGTACTCATCTAGATGATCGTTCGACAACAATGAATCATAGCTCAAAACCTAGGGAAGCAAGATAGATTCTAGCTAAGTGCTATATTGAGATCAGACCTTAGACCATGAAGAGCCGAGACCGATTTAGTCGCCTCAATAACAATCGACAAGATCAAGGCGGGCTAACACAATAGAAAATCTACAGACTTGAGAAATAGACAATAAACGATCCATGATATAATCCCAAGTTTCTCTGAAGATAATTCTTTTTAAGAAAAAGTTTATTTAAGGTTGCAACTTTAAAATGTAGAACTACGGATGCACCTCAAAACTCCATCGAAAAAGGTTGTGTTAATGTTGAAAAACCCTGTGATTGATCATCTCGACATCAAGATGTAGGACTATGGAAAAAAAAAAGATTTTGAGTCTCAAAAATAATGCCTCTTACAACATATTATCTACACCGTTCAGTTTCAAGATTTTCACATGTTTATAGATCAACTTGATTTTAACCATTTTTTAGAATTTAAAATTTTATAATTAGATATCCAAGTAGATTTTGAGATAATCCTAAAAACATTTTACATCAAAATTATATATTATGATAAAATTTGAAGGTGCACCATAGTTGAATTGTTTAAGGTTGCAATCCTATGGAAACCACACCCTTCTTCTTATATTGATATCTCTTGAATATACAAACTTGTACAAATAGATATGAATAATGGATGATTAGAGCAGAAAGAAATCGTAGACACCTATACTAGATTCAGACTTACCATAAATACAAGACACACACTTACTATCAATACAAGATGCTACCCTTCCTATTTAAAATGTCCACAATACACACTTTCCCCAGTAACCCCGTTAATAATATGTACACTTTTCTTATTTTCCTCAATATGAAGCACCAAGAATCTTAACAAATCAACAAAAGAACGCCTCATGGAGAGTCAGTCCAAGATAATCATTTGGTCCTTGAAATGATATTTCACCTTTTTTTTTTGCATATATCCACTTCTTGAATAAATAACTAAGCGTGTATGATGATCCCTGAATTATTTACGTAGCTACAAGAAACAATAAAGGATCTCATTTTGGATAATAATAATTGAAAAACGCATTCCTGGTCATTGATCATTTGATCTAACAAAGTCATCTATAATCACCCTTTTTTTTCCCTCTAATTGCTCGAAATATAATTTTTTTCGAATGTCAAAAGTTTCTATTAACCTTGGCAAAATTGATGTGCTAATGTAACTGTAGAAAATTGTCAATATTTCCTGTGCATCCTAAACCTTTTGACTCTCAAAGAGGGTTGAGCTATGCTTCCGTTTGCCAGAGCATCTGGCTCTAAACTCTTCTCTTTGTAAATGTGTGCAGAGTGTATTTCTTTCCCAACAATGGTGTCCCTAATCCATGAGTGGGATTTGGTGGCATAAGTCCTTGAAGCCTACTTTGATCTATGTTCATTTATCACACACTCCTGACGAGGGCCGAAGAACATAACTGGATCCTATCCATCATAGTCCCTTAGCCACTCCCCTTACATTAGTTGGTTTAGAGATTCAATGAGAACTCCTATCAAAATTTAACTTAATAGAGCTAATACTTGGAGGTAATTTCTAAATATTAGCTCTAAATGCGTTCCAATTTGACCTAATATTTATGTTGTTAACCATCAAAATGCTTCAAGAAATTAATGGAGAAAGGTAGACGCCCATATTTGTCTCTCTTTATTTATAGAGATTAGAAGGTCAATGAGTTAATAAAAGACGAAGTGGAGTGGCTTTGACAAGAGTGAGGCTAAGCCCTTTTCTCATTGTAACTAGTGTTCGTAATATCGGCCCGTTCAACTTTAAACTGGGGTAGATTGGAGCCGGCCATCGGCAAGTTTCGCTTTTGGTTGGTTTTGATGAATTTGGCGGATATTAAAAAATTTCAAAAAATCATTTAAACTCTCTACAAATAAGGAATTTGTTTGTCATGCGTTTTTTAAATTTTTTTAATCATTCTGAAAAATATTTCAAAGTGTTTTGGCCATAGATGCTTATTTTTATTTTTTTCCATTTTTTAAATTTTTTTCAAAAACACCTTTGGATACAAAATGATTTTTTTAAATCCATTTTTTTTCATTAAGTTTTTCAACTTCATTTGGACATGCTTTTTTTAATCATATTTTAACTGAACTTTTCATATAGTTTTTTGAACTTTTTGTATTTTTTATTTTTAATACTTTTTTTAACCAACCAAGACTTGCCCGGTGAAAGAAATTGGGTTACTCGAAATGAGGCTTTTGGCCGGTTTCCGAGGCCGGTTAGTTTTTCGAACACTGATTTCAACGCATTCACCGGAATGTGTTTCCAATTCAAAGGCATGTAAGAAATGTGCAAGGGTGTCGCTCAACACATGCATAGCAAAAGCAATTCCAAGGAAAGACCTACGCCCAGATCCAAGTATAAACTCGAAAATCTTTCCCCATGCATCTATGTCCATGTGACTCAGACGAATAAAATAAAATAAAATAGATAAAAAAAGGAGAGAGAGAAAGCCCAAGTCATTGTAATGCCCGTGGTGCCTTTTGCAGCTGTTACTAAGTATTACAAAAATAAAAATAAAAATAGAACAAAGGACATACACGATAAACGAGAAAAAAGAAGGTAAAAACATTATTATTACATTCAGCACGAAAATTTTAAGGGCGAGGTTTTGGTACCGAGGCATTTTATAAAATTCGTAATAGGTTCTTTAATGTTTTCTATTGTTTTTAGAAAGATTGAAAAATATTTTGGTCATGAGTACTTGCCTTTTTTGTTTAGATTATTTCTAGAAACCCCTAGGCACAAATTTATTTTTCAAAATCCATGTTTTTAGGTACTTTTTTAATCTCATCTGAATGTATTATGTTTAATTATACTTTCGACATAATTTTCATATGCTTTGGGATTTTTTAAGATTTGGTTAAATTTTTTTAACCCTTTCTAGCCTGGACATGACCCGCTCGATTAGGGCCGGTTATTGGGATCGGTTCTGGGTAACCTGGAAATGGCCCCTAGCCGGGTTTTGTCCCCAGGTCGTGGTTTTTGACCTGCATAAAACCTCTGGAAACCATGCAAGTCCATTTCTATTAAATTCTAAATTTTATAAATAATGTAGATATGGTGGATATTGAAGAATTGGTGCAAGTATTAAAAAAGAGAAAGTATAGAATGAAGCCATTTACCTTTGATGCAAGGTGGTCACATTAATGTTGACCATTGGATGTGAAATTTGGCGGATGCAGGTATTCCATTGACTAAGCTCAAACTTCAAAAGAAATTTTTTCGAACTCTGTGACACATCCAAACTATCAAATTTCATATCAAATGGTTGTAAAGAATTGTGACCATTTTACATCAAAGATAAATGGTCTCATGGTATACAATCCAATTACAAAAAAGTCTGATATAAACCACATTTAGCGATTGATATATATTCTTTGAAATCCATGATCGTCAAAAGTAAAGATAAGCACCTTGAGATTTTTTGGAACTATATGGGTTCAGCAATATTTGAGGTATGGTTTTACAAATACCCTTGCAGACCTGAAATATTAAACTAACTTTTCGCTTCAAACATGAAATATTTTGTATCTTTTCTTCATCGACGACATTCGTCAGGCAAAAACTAGCGCAAACGTGCATACCAATTATCAATACCTACCCTACAATGAGGAGTCGGAAGAAAAAAAAAACCTACCCGAACAGTGTATTTAATTATCCCATTCATTGTCATGCTTAATTTTTAAATGATTTTCTATGAGCCAACGTATAGCATGAGATTTTATTGAATAAAGCACCATTTGGTTTCCAAGCCAAAATAGAAATATTGAAATTTTTTTGACCTAGTGTTCACTTGACCTTAATAAAGAGTTTGATTTTCCAATTTGAGTTATCTCTCACTTGTAAATGCTTTTCTAATGGAAAATATTTTGATAATGCTTCTTATCTATTAAAATAAGCAAAGCCTTACCTCAAAACTCATGGACAATAAGCAAAGCCTGACCTAGTGTTCACTTGACCTTAATGAAGAGTTTGATTTTCCAATTTGAGCTATCTCTCAAATGTAATTGGTTTTTCTAATTGAAAATATTTTGATAGATCTGCTTCTCTATCAAAATAAGCAAAGCTTCACGTCAAAACTAATGGACAATAGCTGCTTTAGTGTAAAAAACTTTCAAATTGACCATCTCGGCCTTGAACGTTATGCTTGTGAAGAAAGATTGAGATTTCAAGCCCTAAATATAGGGAATATTTTAACGCATTATAAAGACCGTCCATTTTCCCCTAAAAAGAAGTGTCATGGATCGGCAAGATTTACAGCATTTTTTGTATTTCAAATTGATTTTAGAGCAATCATGAAGACTTATAATGTCTAAAGTGCTTTTGGAAAGACGATTCAAAGCGAGGCTTAACTTTGATTTCATAGAGCCTAAGCTTTATAGAAATTGCATCCTTTTCTAATTGAAGTTTCTAAAAGTATGGGCATGAAAATAGAAAAGAAAAATAAATACAAAAACCTCCAGATTTTAGCAAAAATTACGTGCAAGATCGTGCAAGATCGATCAACACGCATGCATGAAAATAGAAAAGAAAAATACAAAAAGCTCTATATTTTGGCAAAAATTACGCACAAGATAGATCAACACGCATTCTTTATTTTCAAAGATAGCTCTTAAGTATGATGTTTCTAACCAAAGTTTAAATTCCTTTTTATTTATCTTTTCATCTTGAAATTTTTAGAAGAGTTTTTATGTATGGGCATGAAAATAAAAAAGAAAATACAAAAAATGCCATTTTTTTGGCAAAAATTACGTGCAAGGACGATCAACACGCGCCCTTTATTTTCAAAGATCACTGTTCGGTATAATAATTCTAACATCGGACAAATAATTTTAAATTCCTTTCTATTAATTTTTCATTAGGTTGTAGCCAATCCGATGTCCTAAACTTTGAACAGACAAGGTTTAAGCAGTCTGAGGTTGAGGACCTCAAACAAGTAGTTCTACACTCTATTGCCACAGGATAACAGTTTGAGGTCTCGAACTGCTCACTGGACTAAGCAATCATGGGTTCGGGACATCGGATTGCTCCCAAAATAAAAAAAAAAACGTAAAAAAAAATTAAAAACCGATCCGACGTAGGCAACATCAGATGAGTAAGCTGAGTTAAAAAAGATATGAGTCAACCGACCTTTTCACATAATTTTTGTGGAAATATACAGCTTTTTGTGTTTGCCCTTTTGGTTTTGGTATCCATACGTAAATAACTCTTTCAAGAAAATCACTCCGACGTATTGTTTAAAAAGTTAAGGGAAGCCTCTCTCCCTCGTTTAACGAAGACCTCTCTCCCTCATTCTCCCTCTCTACCACGGTCTTACCACCATCGCCACTAGAGAGTCTCTCTCTACCACCCTGTTGCCATCACACTGCCATTACACCACCATTACTGTATCACCAGTTTGTCACCACTGACTTCCTAACTACTTCCATCACCACTAACCTTGAGAGTCTCCAATACCACCACCAGCTTTATGGACTTTTTGTGCCATCAGCACATGCGAGGAATAAATTTCTCTACGTATGCTTAAGTATTGCTTTCAAATTCTGATTTATCTCTCTCACTCTCTATACTAAAAAAATTGGAAAATGCAATTTATAAGATATTATTCTAAAATAATTTGTCACTCCCTATACCAGGGTCTGGGGTGCTACTACCACAACCCCAGCCCCAGCCCCTTTTCAAATCTTTGTTTGTTTCAGGTAATTCAGTGGGAAATGTAGGCCCTACGAGTTAAATGCTTAGGTTTTCGAAGTTACCATTGAGACTAGAGAGCACGGTGCGACTAAGGTATGGGGCCCAGCCCGTTGCTCCCAAAAAAAAAAAAATTTTTTTAAAAAAAAAAAAGAAAAAAAAGAAATTTATGTATTAAGATAAGTATCGAATTTTGTTGGTGAACAACTGGATTAAACCCTTTGAAAGTTGGGTGAATTATGGAGCCTTGAGAACCCTTGAGATTAAACTGTCTATCGTGCCTATCAATTTTATGCCTTCGTCATCTCCTGCAGCTGCTAAGTGGATGCCCGATTTGTTGAAAGCAATTCCTCGAATCAGAAGGGAAAATCGAGTTACATTGCTCCGAAACTCTCCAGTAGGATAATTTCAAGATGATAGATACAGATAGAGATTAATTTTTAGAGAGAGAGAGAGATTGAATTCGGATGCTGAGATATTAGGGCTAGAAATATAAATAGGGTCTCTGATAGAGAGAGAGAGAGTTTGAGAAGATATGTGCAAAAAGAAGTCCCTCATTTCGCCGGCCATTTCGACTTATTGAACGTGCCAGAATAGCTAACAGCCTTCAAACTTTATTGTCAAGTCTCTTTCCATGTAATATTATTCGTTGTGCTCGTTTTTGTTTAAGTGGGGTAGAAACTTTTGTAAGAACTTCAAGCCTTTTAAAAGGCAAAGATGAAGTAGATCATATGAAATCCCATACCCACTAGCCTTCACAACAAGACCTGCAGACCTTCATGGATTAGCATCTTCTTCTTCAGCCCATCCTTGCAACCTTCATTGCCCTCTTCCTTCACAAGCTATGGCTCCAAAATTAAGAAAAGTAAGAATAAATATGCCAAGGAAGCACCCGAACCCGGCGGAGCTATTCCAGTGATCGGACACCTCCGCCTCCTCTCAGGCAGTAAGCTCTGGCACCACAAGCTGGCTGAGATGGCCGATGTATATGGACCTGCCTTCACACTCAGAATAGGCCGGCGCCATATTCTGGTGATTAGCAACTGGGAATTGGCCAAGGAATGCTTCACCACCAACTTCGCGAACCTCCCCAAGACCCTGCTGGAAAACTGTTGGGTTATGACTTTGCAATGATGGGTTTTGGCCCCTATGGCCCGTACTGGAGAGACACTCGAAGAATTGTGACTCTACAACTCCTCTCTAACCGTCGAATTGAATCACTGAAACATGTTCGATCCTCAGAAGTTGATGCCTGCGTAAGGGAGACATTTGAGCTTTGGTAAGAAAACGAGCGAAAGGCAGTGGAAGTGAACATTCATCAATAGCTGCTCAACCTGACGTTCTCCACAGTGGTGAGAATGGTTGCAGGGAACATATTTTCGAGTGATGGAGAGGATAATGAAGAGGCGAAACGATTCGGAAAGTTGATAGAGGAGCAATTCTATCTGGCTGGGACTTCAGTTTTGTTTGATGCCCTCCCTTTCCTTGAGTGGTTTGATTTTCAAGGAAATTTGAAATCAATGAGACGTATTGCTAAATAGGTAGGTGAGATAGTGGAGGGCTGGATCTCTGAACATCGGAGGAAAAGACGAACTGGTGAGACTGAGGGAGTACATGACTTCATTGATGTCCTGTTGTCCCTTGTAGAGGATGGGAGCTTCTCTTCATCGATCGATCCACCCATCTTCATCAAGGCCACTCTCGTGGTAAGCTAAACATTTCCTTCTTGTGATTTATGCTTATGCTTGTGTTTGTGTGCGCGCTAAGGGTTTTAACCTAAACCAAGTTGATAAATCAAACTAATAGGGGACCATATGATTTCAAAATTTTGGAGTTTTTGATTGTTTCAATTTGAACCAGAAATATTGTCGCGTAGTCCCAGGATGGTGTAAATCAATGTATCCGGCGAGGAAGAGTTTTCCCAAGTTGTGTCCCAAGGACATAAAATAATTCTAAAAAATTGTAAAAAATGTGAGATTGCTTTATAAGGGATCGTTAGAGATTGATGGTTTTTTTTTTTCTTAACATATACTTTCATATTTTTACTTTTTATGATGTTTTTTAAAGGGATTGTATTCAATAATACCATTTATCTTTGGTACAAGGTTGTCACAATTACTTACAACCATGTAAAATTTGATAGCTTAGGTATATCACAAAGTTCAAGAAAATTTCTTTCAAAATTTGAGCATGGACAGTGGAATAAATGCAACCACCTAATTTCACATCCAATGGTCAAAATTAATGGTGACCATCTCATTGTATACTTTTACCTTTTTGAAATGTCCCAAAATGTAAAACATTTTTGTAAGTTTGCGAACGGATTTTTGTCTCTATGAGGTTTTCACTTGCGTGTCGTGGTCTCGGCCCATTGCCAGCTCTAGGAGAAAGTATACGTGGAGTAACGCCTTAAATCTTATCCCAAAATGTAGTTCTAATGTCGAAGAATTTAGAGTTTACTCTTCTTACCTACCTGATTATGGATCGGGAAACAATAGATTTGAAGCTCTAAATATACTCCATTGATTTTGTTGATCATTCGTTTCAAGTTTTCAAATATATTCCACGGGCATTGAACTATTTATGAAACTTTGAATTGCAAAGAAATGGATAGATATTCTGACAAGGGACTTCATTCAAATTTCATGAAATCACCCCTTTACCCCAATCTCCCTATTTCAAAATTGGTGCTGCATCTATTGGTCTTTTATCTTCCGGCTTTTCTCATTTATTATGTGTTTTTATTTTTATTTTTTTGATTCCATTTTCATGAAAAGGTAGAGCTCAAATCCTCACTGATTTACCATTTTTAACTCCATTCGTTTCAAAAGAGAAGCGTCCAAATCCCTACTAACATACCACTTTCACTTACCCAAAAAAAATATGGTTGGGATTTCTTTTATTATTATTTTTCTTTGTAGAACTTAATAAGAACTGCAACAGACACCAGAACAGTTACAATCACATAGGTTCCTCCCTAAAAATCGCGACACATTACCAAGGGTCCAAGCTGAGCTGGACCTCCACGTTGGCAAGGACCGAAACGTGGACGAATCAGACATCAAGAACCTCGTCTTTCTCCATGCGATACTCAAGGAGACCCTACGCCTCCTACCCGGCAGCCCCACTTCTTGTACCACACCAAGCCATCCAAGACTGCCACGTTGGAGGATTCATTGTAGATGCCGGTGTGGAAATTACAGAGGGATCCACGTGTATGGTCAGATCCTGATCATTTCGATTCCGATCGGTTCTTAGATATATGGGAAAAAAATGACGAGTTTATACCCTTTGGGTCAGGGCGTAGGTCTTGCCCTGGAATTTCTTTTGGTTTGCATGTTTTGAGTCTCACTCTTGCACGTTTCTTACATGCTTTTGAATGGGATACACCTTTCGGTGAATGTGTCTATACGAGAGAAGGGCTTGGCCACACTCTTGTCAAAGCTACTCCACTTCATGTTCTATTAACTCCTCGTCTACCTTCTCATCTCTATCAATAAAACGAGAGAAAATATGGTCTGCTTTTGCTTTTCTTCTTGATGAGAATGCATCTCATTTTGTGGACTGGATTAGACGGGTTTGTAGCCTAGTTAGCAACTCCGGGCTTACCATAAAATTAGAAACAAATTGTTTTTATTTTAAAAAGTCCGAAGAAAAAATCAGGTAAAAAATATAGATTGGCAAAAATATTTCATATAAAGATATTGTTAATATATCGGATTAGGCTAAAAAAATCGGATAAATTTATAATATTAGAAATTTTAAAATTCTAAAAAATAAAAATTATGTCAAAACCTTCATTAACTAATTCATCTATAAAAAATTTACTTGACTAATATAATTAAGTCAATTAATTTAGATGCCTCGTGGCTTTGATGCAAATCTCCAATATTAAATACATAGTTAACTAGTATACTCCAAAAAAAATTGTACCATATAAATCTAACCATTACATACCAAAAAAAAATAGACTATATAAATTTATTCATTAAATACTTTAACATCACACCTACTTGGCAGGTATAAAAAAAATATACGATTTTTGTTTTCTCATTACAAACATTTAACTATAGTATGCTCACTATGGTCACACCATAGCTATGGTTAAAGTTTTATGAATTTTTTTTACTTGGAAAGAGGCCCGTAGAAATTTGGGTTTCCCTGCTCTCTATTTACGGTTTAGAGAGAGGAGGAAGAAGGAAGAGAGAGAAGAAGGTTACTGTTTAGAGAGAGAAGAAAGAAGACGGAAGAAACGAAAATGGGCTGGGCTCATAGCCAAGGTTTATAGAGACAAAAGAAGGAAGAAGGAAGAGGTCAAGGGCTTCACCAACCCTAACTGATTTTTAGAAAGATAAAAGAAAGATGGGATGTTGTTTGAGAGAACGTCCTAACGATATTGATTTATCAAGGGGCCTTAATTGATATTTAGAGAGAGAAAAGGAAGAGGGTTTTCCATTTCTTTGAGAAAACAACAAGCAGAGCTAAAGAATTAGCTTTGGGAACTAATCCTATATGTTCGATTGCTTGTTCATGTAAGTTTACAATTTATACTATACTGTTTATCTTTGTTATCACACAATCAAAAGCAAAATACTGATTACTTTGTCATGTAGTCACACTCCCTGCTTCTCATTCATTAGTAAAAGGCTATGTTTTGAGCTCTAATTTGTGCTATAAACAGTATTTCAATAAAAAATAATTATCACAAATAATCACATAAATCTGTATGTATATGATTTTCTTTAAACAATGATTTACTTTACAAAATGATTTGCTATAAACAGTATTTCATTTACACAATAATTTTCCATAATAACACTAATACCTGCATCTATTTGTTTAAGTTTTTTTAAAAAAAGGGAAAAAAAATTTATACCTTCAATCTGCAACTGTGGCTTTGAAGAACATAGTGGGGATAAAAATTCCTATTTCAGTTTTTCTTTTAAAATAGGTTTTTTTTTTCAAAAGCATGAAAGTAGCAATGGCTGCAATACACAAAACAAGAAAAAAAAGTATCTTTCAAAAAAAAAATACTGGTAAAAAAGATGCGATTTTTTGACCAGATCTAAAACGTATTATTAAAAAGCACATTTTAAATGTTCTTAAGAAAAGTACGTGATTTTTTCGTGACCTTCTAAAAAAATCGCCATTTAAAATTGTTTCCATAAAAATGCCAATTTTTTGAAAAAATCGCCTATTAAACAGCAATTTGCTAACTATGGTTTGTATTAATCATCTTGTATCTCCTTCTATGGACTAGGTTAGACGGTTTCAAACATTGGATGCTATATAAGTTTTTGAACTCTTTTGTTGTTAACTAGATAAATCATCATCATTTGAGTTTTATCCTAATTATTTGAGGACTGCCACTATTAACTAGATAAATAATATGTCGAATTTGAATTATGTTTAAGTTAAACAATGCATTTCGATTCCATGACAATACCAATTTTTAACGTACTATACAAGATAATTGCACAGGTATTGTTTTCCTCACATGAGATCAGTCTAGCACAAAGTTATCTCAAGGAGAAAATTGATCATCAAATTCTGGATGATGTCCTCCGTGCGAGTGACTGCATTCTAAGGAAAAAAAAGATGAAATGATTTCTTCAAATTAAAAAAAATGAGGAAGAAAAAGTACAGAGATCTAGACTATATTAAGTGATTAAGCGTGTGAATCAAAGGGTCTTAGTGAGTGATGAAGAGGCCATCGAAAGGTGGAGTGTTTATTCTAAATGATTATTAAATAACGAATAGACGAGAATATAGCCGTAGAAGAAACTGTTGGCATAAATGACGATGGAGGATTAAGATATCAACAGTGAAAGAATCTTTGAAAAGGATGAAGTTAAGAAAAGCTTTCGGATCAGATATTATCCCAATAGAGGTGGAAAAGTGCATGGGGGAGATTAGCATTGAGTCACTGACCAAGCTGTTCAACAAAGTGTTGAGAACAAAAAAAATATCAGACGAATGCAGGAAAAATATTGTGGTACCTATTTACAAGAATAGAGGAGACATATAGAATAGTACGAACTATCAAGGCATCAAACTTATGAGCCGCATAAAGAGGTACTGGGAGAGAGTGATTAGCAACGACTAAGGCATGGAACGAGTATACCAAAAAACTAATTCAATTTTATGTCAAGGAGGTCAACAACTAAGACTATTTGCAGATAACTAATTGAGAAGTTTAGGACAAAGGGAAAAGTCCTCCACATGGATTTTTTTTTTATTATGATAAAGTACCTCGATATTTGATTTGATAGGTGTTGGAAAA